ATTCTCTCTCATCACTGATGTTTCTATTTCTCTCTCCCTCTCCTTTCCTCTCTCTGAAATCAATAAAAAAAATTTAATGGATCATTGGCTGAAGTGCAGTGAGTAATGAGCCATGTCTCTTGTGGCGCTGAAGTGTCAGAAATTGGCATAAGTTTTGCAAAATGAGTTAGAGTCAACTCTACAATACTGTCAAGTCCAGACATCACCAGCAAGGTCACCCAAGCAGGACAAGCCAAAGAGGAAAGTCCTGCTCTCCTGACACTGACTCTACGATATGTTCAACCCTACAGGGTCTGAAACCACATCTAGAAACAACAGGCAGGTGGAACAAGGACAAGGGTTGGGGGAAGTGGGAAGCAAGAAACAAAAGAATGCACCCTCTTCTAGACTACAGTCTTTTTGTCTGCAAAAGGCCACATTGGAGCAGGAGAGATGGTTCATCTTTCAATTAAACTCAATGTTTTATGCCTCATATAAAACTTCAACTCTACTTGTTTACAGCTTTGATATGGATGATGGCATAAGAGTTGGTAACCGGTTATCAGAAATCTCGTATTTAAATTCTGCATGATATCTCCTACCTCTTTTGAAATGTAGTATCTATAGTATCTTGATATTTAGATCTGAGCTGTTTTAACATCCTGTTATACATGTGAGAGAATAATGCGTATCAACTTCAGAACCTCTGAAGAGATCAGTGAGTGAAAGTTAGGCCTTTAGCTATAACTGCAAAATTTTATTTATTCACTTATAAAGAAATATTGGAAGCAAATATGATAAAATTTTAATATATACTTAAATTTAATGGTGATTATGTGAATGCTTATTATATTATCTCATGGACTACATGCCTAGTTTACAATCTTCTTTCCAGCATAAACCTTGTTCTCATTCTTGGTAACTGCTATATGCATGTAGCTAGTAAATCCAACAAACTTTTCAATCTGATTAATTATAGACCAACAACAAGTTGCAAAATTACTGCAGAGAGTTCCTGTCTGCCCATCACCCAGCCTCTGCCAATGGTGACATCTTACACAAATACAGGACATTTTCAAAACCAAGAGACTGACCTGGGTAGGGTACAATTATTCACACTACACATCTTACTCAGATCTCACCCATTTTCACATGCACACATTTTTACTGTGCATAATTCTAGGACATTTTATCACATGTATAGATTCATGTAATGACAGCCACATTCAAGATTTGGAACTGTTTCTTTGTCACAAAAGAATCCTCCTGGACAACTCTTTGTAGACACACACAACCTGTGCCCCTTCCAAACTCTTGGCAACCACTGATCTCTTCTCCATCTCTATAATTTTGTCATTTCAAAAATGTTGTACAAATGGAATCATACAGTATTCAGCCTTTGAGTTTGACTTTTTTCATTCAGCACAATGACCTCAAGATCCATCCAAGTTGTTGCACGAATCAATAGTTTGTTGTTCGTTTTTAAAATTGCTGTGTCGTATTCTTTATATGGATGCATTACATTGTGTTTCACTACTCACAAGTGGAAGGACATTTGGTTTGTTTCCAGTTTGATTATTATAATAAAATTGCTATGAATGAACATCTGTTTAGAGGTTTCCATGTGAACATAAGTTTACCATTCTCTAAAATAAATGCCAGGAATAATTGCTGTTTTATATGGTAAGTATATGTCCAAATTTGTAAGAAAATGTATAGTTTTTCAGCATGGCCATACCATTTTACTTTCCAACCAGAAATCTATGAGAGATCCAGTTTTCCTAAAGTCTTGTCAATATTTGAAGGAATCGGTATTTTTTAATTTTAGCCATGCTAAGGAGTGTGTAATAGTATCTCATCGTGGTTTTAATTTTGTATTTCCCTAATGGCTAGGGGTGCAAAACTATTTCATATATTTATTTGCCTTCCATGTATTTCCTTTGGTGAAGTGTCTGTTCAAGTCTTTTGCCCTGGTTGAGTCCAATTCTCCATTAACTCCATGCCTGTTTCCAGGGAGCTGAGTGTAACCAGAGAGCAACACACAACCAATGGCTTCGCTTTCAATCTATGTCACAAACTACAAGTATCCACTTAGCTCTGCTGAGTCATCAGGTACCTTTTCCATAACTACCCTCTCAATCTCCAAGGGAAACACTGAACTCCATCCCTCTCCTGAAACCCCCTCCTCACTCTTTTATCACTCTCACATGCTGCCCTCCTGAGAATGTCCCATCTCCCGACACCAAATCTATCAGCCAAACTGCCTCTGTGCTCATTTACCTGCCTTTCCTCTCAGGCCAGGGAAGAGCTCTGCATTCTCCTACCCTAAACCATCCTTTCCACCTGCAGACAGGTTCCCACCCCTCTCCTCCACAGACACACTTATACAATTACTAGAGGCCCAGTGCATGAAATTCATGCACAGGGAGGGAGGATGTCCCTCAGCCCGGCCTACACCCTCTCCAATCTGGAACCCCTTGGGTGATGTCTGCTGCCAGTTTAGGCTCAATCCCTGTGTGATCAGGCCTAAAATGTCAGTCAGACATGCCTCTCACAATCTGGGACTGCTGGCTCCTAATCGTTTGCCTGCCTGCCTGCCTGATGCCCCTCTAACCACTCCCCTGCCAGCCCAATCACCCCCAACTGCCCTCCCCTGCCAGCCTGATCGCCCCCAACTGCCCTGCCCTGCCGGCCTGGTCACTCCCAAATGCCCTCTCCTGCTGGCCTGGTCGCCCCCAACTGCCCTCCCCTGTCAGCCTTATGGCCCCCAACTGCCCTCCCCTGCTGATCTGGTGACCAATAACTGCCAAAAGTTTTGGTCTTTTATATTTCCGTGAGTAAAATATAACTCTATGTAATTGTAATTTTCATCTCTGTTATTATTACTTTGGTTTCTCTCCATATGTTTAAGAAGCATTTTTATTTTGAGAAGTTGTGCATTTATGACCTATAATCATTTTCTTATTGGCTTGTTAGATTTTGAATTATCATTTTACAGGAACTTTTACAAATAGGGGAATTAGTAATTTTTCTTTTATATGAGTTACCAATATTTTCCCAACTCATTTTTCATCTTTTGATTGTGATGGTTCATGCCATACCAAAAAAATTCTATATGTTCTCATCCTTATTAATCTTTTCTTTAATGCCTTCTGAATTTTGTGCTACACTTTGAAAGTCTTTCCGAACATTGGGAGGAAAAAAAAAACTTTCCTATGGTTTCTCCAGGTACTAATAAAGTTTCATGATTTATTTTTAAGTATTTGGATTATATATGGATTTATCCTAATATCAGATGCAAAGTATGTTTTCAACTGTATTTATTTTAATTTTTAATATATTTTTATTGATTTCAGAGATGAAGAGAGAGAGAAACATCAATGAGGAGAGAGAATCATTGATTGGCTGCCTCCTGCATGCCCCACACTGAGGATCAAGCCCACAACTGGTCTTGCAAAGCGTATCAGGCCATAAAAACTGTGAACAAGGCACTGCCCTGGGGTGGGGAGGGAAGGTCGTTATCACTGGCTCCAGGACAGATCATCCACACCTGGGGGTCTTCCTGTAAGCCCATGAAAGGGGGTGGAACCATATCTGCAAGACAAAGACCGCAAAAGGTTATAAAAAGTGAAGCCTCTGCATGTTACTTCACACTGATTTGGAAATTAATCCTGGAGTCCACTAGTGTTAATAAACGGGTCCCTCCCTTTCTCTAGGAAGTGTGCTTGGTATTTCTTTGCTCTTCTGTAACATAATAAGATCTTTATTAAATACTAGAGGCCTGATGCACAAAATTTGTGCAAGAGTAGGCCTTCCTTCTCCGCTTCCAGCTGCCTGGCTGTCGGCCGCCATCTTGACTGGCAGTTAATTTGCATATCGCCCTGATTAGCCAATGGGAAGGGTAAGGACGTCCAGTCTAATTATCATATTATGCTTTTATTATTATAGATTTGCTGAATAAATCCATTGAAGAACTTTTCTGAATATTTCAAATAGTTTCTAATCCAAATGACACTTAAAAAATAACAAGTAACTCACCCTGGCCAGTGTGGCTCAGTTAGTTGGAGCATTGTCCATATGCCAAAAGGTCTTGGGTTCGATTCTAGGTCAGGCCTCAACCTAGGTCGAGGGTTTGATCCCCAGTTGGGGTGTGTCCAAGAGGCAACCAATTGATGTTTCTCTCATCGATGTTTCTCTGTCTCCCTTCATCTCTCTAAAAAAATCAATAAGCTTATCTTCAGATAGGATTTTAAAAGAGTACAAAAGTAACTTAATTTGACTGTAGCATGAGGCACATGAAAGGAAAACATAAGAGATAAGAGTTAAATTTCTAATATTTACACCAAATGAAAATAAATTTTAAAATTAGATAAAGTGGAAGAGGGAAGAAGAATGTTATGTGTGCTGAACTCCTTATCTTTAAAAGGGATGCCAATTGATCTACTTCTTAATGTTTATAAATTTAAAAAAATAACTTTAAGTTTACGGTTCAGAGCTAATAATAAAGGAAGTAAGAATTGGTTGAACTTTGAAGAATAGAATTCAGGGAGCCTGTCACCTTATATAGACTTCTCTATCATTTGGAGGGTAATTATACACAAGAATGCATATTGCTGTGATAATTTAAAAAAAACACACAAGAAAAGTGGGTTTTGGCCATGGTGGACTTTCAATCACTCTACGATATACTTTATTCTTTAGTTTTAAAGCCTCACAATGCAAACTCATATTGTTTGACACTGCTCCCCAGGCTCAGTCTTCAACTATAGGTTCCACAACAGTGATAACCAGGAGGATGACAGGATGGCGTAGGATGGGAGTGGCTGACATGTGAGTGGACATGGGGCAAATGATAAGAAACATCTCAGTAACTGATCATGCTCAAACAGCTCTGGTCTCTGACTTGCCCACAGTCCTGGCACAGGAAATTGAAAGGTCTGTCCAATATCTTGATAAACCTTCCTTAGTCACCAGCTTTCAGTCCAGCTCCTTCACACATCTCCTGATTTAGAGGGCAGAGACGTGTCTCTGGCATCACTCAATCCCAGGAAGACTCTCCCCTTCAGCACAGGTCAGCTCTCCACCTCAGGCCGGAAGAATGGAAGAAAGGTAAGAATGTATACCCAGAACTGACTTATGTCCAAAGCCAGTTATGGTTTTTGCTCTAAGTTCCCATCCCCATGGTTCCCAGGCTCTACATGCAGGGGTCCTGGTGCATCCTTCAGGGAAAAGCAGGAGGCATGAAGCTCTCCTCTAGTGTCTTTGGGTGCATCCACTCTGACTGTTGGAGATGCAAATGGGTCAACCAGAACCTTTCTCTCTTCTGATCCATCTGCCCACAGGCTCCCCTTCATTCCAACCATTCAAGTCTGGTGTCATGGACAGAACTCTGCCTCAAATATTATTTAGGGAGCAAAGTAAAATGTGAGCATTGCTTCCCAAGTCGGAACTGTTGTTAACCCAGATTTCACTTTTTTCCTTTTTTCCCTCTTCTCTTGTGGATATGGCAGAGTGCCAGGAGTAAACAGACCAACTGGGGTAAATGGGGGTTGTTTCATGAGGGACTATTGAGCGGGTTTAAAGGAAAGTGACAATGCATGGTGAAGCACCCTTAGGTAAGCAATAGAGGAGCACTGTCTCCACCCCGAGGCTTAAAGGGACCCAGGAAAGAGCAAGTGCACAGATAGAGCAGAGCTGTAATCATAGCAGCAGCAATAGGAAGGACCACCAGCCAGGAGGAGGAGCAGGCCCAGGCCAACACACTGCCCAGAGGGAGAGAGCCAGGAGATCAAAAGGCCAAATCTCTTTTTCCCTGCCCTCCAGTCTCCTGGTAGCAACCAGAAATCAGAAGCACATGATGAGATACCATCATTACCAGGAAAACCCCTGGGTGGGCTCAGGCTGCCTGTCACTGTGTCCAATAACGAAAACAGGGTTGAATCATATAAGGTGTATATTGAGAAGGCTAGCCAACCAAGAAGACAGGGTGCTTACAAACATTCAAATCCTGTCTTACAGCAAGATACAGGGGACAGGATTATAAAGGGGAAAGGACCAGGGTGAGGCTGGGAACAGAATGCAGCTACGTGCAGCCCTGGAGGTCTGCAGACATCAGCTATTGTCCTTTAGTCATCAGGAGATGAGATGATGTTGATGAGCTGACATACTGAGCCACTTTGAGCCCAGTTCACGCAGCCATCCTCACACCTCCCCTAGCAAGAGATCACATTCCCTTCATGTCCCTAAAGCATGGTCTTTCTCCTTGGTGGATGGGCCCGTTAGTCATGAGGGTGGACTGTGGTCATCTCTGCTCTTCCTGACTTCATGCAGCTGAGGGGGAAACTCCAGCTGAGGACAGAACTAATACTTGGGTCCAGAGCCCTCTCCTGGTCTCTCAGATTCTATTCCAGACATTGATCTCCTTCTTCAGAACATTCTGGAGACATGACATCGCCTCCGGACAGTGAGTGGGAGCTGTGGTAGGGGGGCATGGTGGGACTTCAGAATGTCCCCATGTCAGTAGCAGATTTGTATTGCAGTAGAGCAAGCCCAGGCTCTAGAGTCAGAGAGAGAACTGGGTTTGAATCCAGGTCCAGGACTCCAAGACTGGGCCTTCCATAAGTATCTTAACCTCTGGACCCTCCTTTCCTGGTTCTGTAACACGGGACAGCAATAGCCCACAGCATGATGGTTCTGAGAATCATTGATCGTACCAGTGCCCAACTCCTGTTTTCTTCCAGGGTCACCACTGCAGGGTTTGAGAGCACAAATATGACTGTCACAGCCTGGGGGACCGAGCTCACACCAACCAATGGAAGTGACCAGGCTCCTTCTAAATGTAACAAAGATACCGTGACCCCAGACGTGCTGGTCTTCACCTTGGCCCTGGTGGGGCTGGCAGGGAACTCGGTGGTGCTCTGGCTGCTGGGCTTCCGCATGGGCAGGAACGCCTTCTCTGTCTACGTCCTCAACCTGGCAGGGGCCGACTTCCTCTTCCTCTGCTACCGATTTATACAGAGTCTACATTTCGTTTTCAACTTTCCTTTTTTCATTAGAGTACTTAACAGAGCTCTCTCACTTGTATCAACCTTTGCCTACATCTCAGGCCTGAGCTTTCTCAGCGCCATCAGCACAGAGCGCTGCCTGTCTGTTCTGTGGCCCATCTGGTACCGCTGCCGCCGCCCCAGACACCTGTCAACCATCATGTGTGCCCTGCTCTGGGCCCTGTCCCTGCTGCTGAGCATCCTGGAAAAAAATTTCTCTTGGAGTCTCTTGCATTTGTTCAGCCCTTCCGTGTGTCAGGTATTTGACTTCATCGTTGCGGCGTGGCTGATTTTGTTATTTGTGCTTCTCTCTGGGTCCAGCCTGGCCCTGATGACCAGACTGCTGTGTGGCTCCAACCGGGTGCCGCCCACCAGGCTCTACATGACCGTTGTGATCACAGTGCTGGTCTTCCTCCTCTGTGGCCTGCCCTTCGGCATCTACTGGTTCATCATATTCTGGTTTCCAAATGAATCTAATGCCTTCTTTGATCTTTCCATAATGGTAGTACTTCTGTCCTGTGTCAACAGCTGTGCCAACCCCATCATTTACTTCTTCGTTGGCTCCTTCAGGCAGCAATGGTGGAAGCAGAGACGCACCCTGAGACTGGTTCTCCAGAGGGCTCTGCAGGACACTCCTGAGGTGGATGAACCTGGAGAAAGCCTTCCTGGGGAAACCCTGGCCATGTCGGGAGGCAGACTGGGGCAGGGATGAGAGCCTCTGTCCTGATCAGTCTGGAGTAACTTTGAGACTCACTGCTGCTCTGCCAGGCTGGGAAAGTATCTAGTCTTCTCTCAGCCTCAGCCTCAGAATGTGTCAGTGATTCCCCAATCTCTTCAAATAGGTTGTTTTTAATCTGACTGCTCTAGTTTTTCTCATTAGTCTGAAAATTACGCCTTGCCACCGTTTCTGACATTACCATTAAATTTCTCATGTAATCATCCTCTGAATTTACTTATTGAATGTTTTTTCTTTACAAGTGGATCTGAAAAATCTTCTTGAAATACTTGGCTTTGAACTGATAACTATAATTTACCTAGTAAGTACCCTATGTCACATTAGCCAGCCACACTAACCTTTTAAAACAGGCAAGGAAAGTTAAACAGGAACTGGAAAAATAGAAATGGGAAAAGAGGCAATTTATAGTGTTATCCTATCTAATAATAGATAGACATGGTAATTGGCCATACCTTCGCTACACCTCCCATTGGCTAATCAGCGTGATATCCAAATTAACCGCCAAAAAGGTGGCAGCTAATTTGCATACTGCAGGCAGGGTGGGACACCGGGACCCAGGAGCCACCTTTCCTGCGGCCAGTATTCATGATCATGATCGGAAAGCCAGGCTGCAGGCAAGGCAGCCCCCTGGAACCCAGGAGCCTTTCAGTGAGGTCTGCAGGCGAAGCAGTGATCAAGCTATGAGGGGGAGGGTGGGGGGCGGAAGGAGCTACAGGAGCAGCTCTGGCCAAAGACTGAAGACTTCCACCGGAGCGAGGAGCCAAGAGCTGCTTGGGGGCTCAGGCCTGTGGGAAAGCAGGCACCGTGAGCTGGTGATCCCAACGGCCTGATAGCGTTGGAGGTGGTGTTGGGACTGGGGACTGGTGAATGGGCAGAAGATGGCACTGATTGGGCCAATTGCTATGATGCCCACTGTAGCCAGCAAACTGCCTGATCAGGAGGTGGGGCCAGCAGCCAACCTCACAGCCCCTCCCCCATGCCGGCCTTCCCCTGATCAGACTCTCCCATCCCAATCAAGAGCAGGGTGCACAGAGCCTGGACCCCTCCTGGCAGTCCCGAGTCCCTGGGGCCGAGAATTCTGATGGCCCTGCCCAGAGAGTAGAGGTGCCTGAGGGGCAGGGACAGGGACCACAGGCCTCCAGGGAGCACTGCAGAGTTGGCAATGAGAGGAGAGGGCCTGTGAAGGGGGAGAAGGTGAAGCCAGTGGACATCAGCCCAGAATCCAGCCCTTCCCCTCCAGAGGCAGCAGGACCTAAACCCAGAACCCCAGCCCAAATTGGAAGAGCCTGAGGGAGCTTCAGGAAGCTCTATGCAAAGCTGCACATTGAGAACGAGAGACTTTGTGAAGCCCTGACCCAGACCACGCTGCGGCTGGAGCAGCTCAAGGTGGAGCTGGAGCACACCATGCAGAGGCAAGAGCACTTTGCAGAGAGGCCAGCCATTCTGGAGCTGGCGAGATTTGAGTGTAGGCCCTAGAGTGCAAGGCTGCTGAACTGGGAGAGGAGCTGAAGGGCCTGTCCAATCTCCAAGCTGACAACCAGTGCCTCAAGGATGAGAATGTGGCCCTGATCTTTGTCATCAGCAAACTGTCCAAGTGACCCCAGAGGACTTGCCCCTGCACCCGCATTTATACAGCTGCTTTTGCCACATGCACCCCTTCTCTGTGTGAACATGAGTGATAGGGCTGTCGAGGAGTCTCTGAGAAGCCATAACCTCCCTTGAGATCTCCAGGTTAGGAGGGGAGGACAGAGCCCCCGGGAGCCAAGGGGCCATCTGAGGCCAGGATGGAGATGGGAGGCTGAGCCAGGTAGGGGGACCAAGGCTGCAGGAAGGACCAGAAAGGAACTGAGGACCAGGAAGTGTCAGGACCAGTAGCCAGGACCAGAGTGGTCACCCAGAGGTCCCCTCTCATGTGTGCTGCCACCAGTCACCCCTCCAGCCCCTGAGCAGGGATTAGAATGTGCCAACCATCCCGCTGGCCTGGGCCAGGTAAGCCTGTATATAGGGTCTGTGTGCAATAGGGAGGGACATCTATTTTTTGCTGCCCCTTCCCCATCGCTGTCCCGGGCAGGGGGAGGAGGTATTTTTCAGACATAGCACAGGCACCACAAGTAAAAGTTGTGAAGTTGCAAAAAAAAAAAAAAAAGAAGAAGAGCAGGCCAGCCTGCCAAACACCCTCTCTCTTCCCACCATCCTCTGTCCCCCTGCCCAGGCCTGCACTTGATCAACCTGCCCCACCACAATAGGCCCACAGCCCCTCCCCGTGGCTGTCAGCCCCTGATTGCACCCCATCCACCCCAAGAGGGGGCAGGACCAGCCAGCCAATCTCCTGCAGCCCCTCCCCAGGCTGGCCCCAGACGTGGCCCAGCATTGGGCCAAGTCGGAGAAGGTGAAGCTGTGGGAGGTGTCTGTGGCTGCCCTCCGCTCCCTCCTGGAGCCCTTCATCTACCTGGCCAGCAAGATGACCCAGCCCCAGAGCAAGTCCGCCTTCCCCCTCAGCCATAAGAACAAGGGCAGCAGCTCCTTGGATGGCTGAAGAGCTGCCATCCCTTCTTCACCTCCCCAACCCCAGTCCAGCTTCTGGGGCTTTGGAGGATGGGTTGAAGGGAAAGACAACTCCCACTAGGGCAGGCAGCTGGGCTGTTCCGGGCTCGGGCCACTTTGGCTTCCTCCAAATTCCGGGAAGTGCAAGTAATCTAGGTTAATGCCCCCAGTCTCTCCCTCCACCCCAGCTTCCATCCTATCTACCCCTCTGTGACCTGGGGCTGATGTGGGTCAGGGTCCCTCCCCCCCGCCATGGTTGGGAAGCAGAGCTTCCCCACAGAAGTGCCACGTCTAGGGTCTGGTTCTGATCATGGGTCCCACACCTCTGGGCTTCTGCCACACACACACACAAACACTTATGGCACCAGCCTAGACTCCAGGGGAAGGGTGTCCAGGTATAATGTATGCGTGTGCATCCTGGTGTTAGGGGTGCCTCCTCACTCAGCACCCTGACCTTGTTCCCATCTGTACCATGGCTGGAAGAAGCCAGCCTCCTGGGAAGTGTGATTTTCTACTTGACCTCCTGCCCCAATTGTTTCACTTCCTCTTCCTGCTTCATTAGTTGAGGTGGAATGGTACGATGACTGGGCTGATTCACCAAGGGGCTTTGTTACCCAGGAAGGTTTTCTCTCTCTGGGCTTTCGTTTCCTTATCTGTACAGTGACAGGAGTTGCTTAGATGGCCTTCAGATCCTCTCCAGCCCTATGACTTTATAATGCCCCTGGCTTCGGGCCAGCTGACTGTCCCCTTTGTTTCTTCTCCCTCTTCAAGGTGCTATGCCTACCGCACCTGGATGCTGGGACTCTCCGCCACGGGGCAGGAGTGCACTATCTACTCTAGTTGCCAGAATGGCTGCTTAGTGCCCACTGGGGAACTTCACACCCCTGGGGGCTGGTCTTCACTCCTCCCTGTGGTTGTTTTCAGCTATTAGCTGGACTTTATTTATAAATTACCTGTTATAAGTTAGTATGCTGCCATGGTGAAGGCTGGACAAGGTGCTCCTCTAGCCCTTCTTACCTCATGCCTCAGCAGAACAAGGCCAACAGTAGTAGCTTCTCAGGAGCGGACAGAACTGTTGGGGCTCAGAAGGACGGTTACACTCTCAACATGCTGTAAGGTGAGCTCATGACCCACAACTTCCTGGGCCCACTTCGTGCTTCTCTCTGGGCTTCTGATGGGCACCGCTACCATAGGTGAGCCCTACAGCCGGGCCACATCCAGTGCATGCCCCTTCCCAAAACAGGGAGGTGAGCAGGGGCAGGCGGTCCCAGGCTGGGCAAGTCAAGTTAGGACATATACAGGCTCGGGCTTAAAGTTCATTTATTGATGCATTGGACACAATAAAACCACAATTCTTATCAAAAAAAAAAAAAGTGGGAATATGCTAATTGATTCTAGCACCATCACAAAGATGGTGGCACCCGCAGCCAATAAGGAGGGAATATGCTAATTGACTGTTCTGCCCTCAAAGATGGTGGTGCCAACCGCCACAAGATGGCCGGCAGAGGAGGGCAGTTGTAGGTGATAAGGCCAGTAGGGGAGGGCAGTTAGGGGTAACCAGGCCAGCAGGGGAGGGCAGTTAGGGGCGACCAGGCCAGCAAGGGAGGGCAGTTAGGAGTGACCAGGCCAGCAGGGGAGGGCAATTGGGGGGCAACCAGGCCAGCAGGGGAGGGCAGCCAGGCTGGCAGGGGAAGGCAATTGGGGATGACTGGGCCAGTAGGGAAGGGCAGTTGGGGGCAACCAGACCAGCAGGGGAGGGCAGTGGGAGGAGACCAGGCTGGCAGGTGAGGGCAGTTGGGGGCCATAGGGCCGGCCGGGTAGTGGTAAGGAGGTGATCAGGCAAGCAGACAGAAGCGGTTAGGACCAATCAGGCAGGCAGGCAGCCAACGGTTGGGAGTCACCAGTCCCGGATTGTGAGAGGGATGTCCGACTGCTGACAGTCAGACATCCCCTGAGGGGTCCCAGATTGGAGAGGGTGCAGGCTGGGCTAAGGGACACCCCTCCCCCCCAGTGCACAAATTTCATGCACTGGGCCTCTAGTTGTTACTAAAAGTACAAAGGTTGTTTAGAAAATGGTTACCAGTGTGCAAATAAGTTTCATTCCCCGTGACACCCCAAATATATGGTCATAGTTGCTAGATCTCTCTTAAGAATGATCAGCCCAGCCCGTGTAGCTCAGTGTTTGAGTGTTGACCTATGAACCAGGAGGACACAGATCAATTCCTGGTCAGGGCACATGCTCGGGTTGGAGTCTCGGTCCTCCATGGAGGCCATGCAGGAGGCAGCCAATCAATGATTCTCTCTCATCACTGATGTTTCTATTTCTCTCTCCCTCTCCTTTCCTCTCTCTGAAATCAATAAAAAAAATTTAATGGATCATTGGCTGAAGTGCAGTGAGTAATGAGCCATGTCTCGTGTGGCGCTGAAGTGTC